GGACATAACGGTCTTTGTGCCTCAGTGGCGCTTCAATAGGGATGCCAGGGTCAGAGGTGAGTTGGGCCTGGTCCTTTGTGTCCTGGGATAGACCCTGCTTCAACCTTAAAGATAACCGCATTGTGCTCCTATGTTTCTAGAGGGTCACTACCTGCAAAAGCTCTACTCCCTCAGTCTGCTCTCCCTCACTCCTTCCCGAGTCATGGACGGCAAGAGGATCTCTTCCTATGATGACAGGTACTTACTTCTCTCCTGGCCCCAGGCTTGACATTCAAGGAGCCCAGTGGGAGATCAAGGGAGAGTCAGAAGCTCCTGACCCTTTGCTCTGTTTCTAAGCCTGGGTATTGGGTTCAGGGCCAGTTAGTCCTTCATGTGTCTCTATGACTGGGCAGGTAAACCTGTCCCACAGATGAGATAAAATGGATGGTAGACAACTGTGTTAGCTCATTCATCATTCATTTTTCATTCATCAAAGTAAATAATGCTTTGTATCTATATAGTGCCCACTGCCTAGAAAATACTGGCTTAATGAAAAAATGGGAAAGCTTATGACATGAGTAGCTAACAGTTATGTTCTTACAGCATAAATTTCCAAACACTTAAGAGAAATTCCCCCAACATTCTGGAAAAACCAGAGTAAATGTTCAAAAATAACAAGTTAAATGAAACACAGTTCATGCATACTAACATAAAATAAGACATAAATAAAACATGGCATAATAGAAAGATCACTAGACCTAGAATTTATGATCTGACTTGGAGCCCCAAGTTGAACTAGTCATTGACTCTGACTGTGGACCAATTAACCTCTTGTCTCAGGGTCTTCTCCCATTCATTCATGCTCTTTGTGACTGTCAAAAGATAAGTTATGTGCTGATATTCCTAGTTCGTGAACACAATCAAGTGTGGCAGAAGGTCTTATCTCTACAGTACCGAAATGGAGCAGAGGATAAGAGTGGTTACTCTCTTGGCAAAACGTATCAAGTAGCAAAGGAAAAATGAGAATTGAAAGCTGCCACATGGTTTAAATGAAAAACACAGCCAAAACCAGTTTGGCTTAGTGGATAGAGCATCGGCCTGTGGACTGAAAGGTCCCAGGTTCGATTCCAGTCAAGGGCATGTATCTTGGTTGCAGGCACATCCTCAGCAGGGGGTGTGCAAGAGGCAGCTGGTTGATGATTCTCTCTTGTCGATGTTTCTAACTCTCTATCCCTCTCTCTTCCTCTCTGTAAAAAAAAAAAAAAAAAAAAAAAAAAAAAAAAAATCAATAAAATATATTAAAAAAAGAAAAAAGAAAAAGAAAAACACAGGACACATTTCATCCTCAGTGTACATAACACCGTGTGGAAAATGGGCAGATTTTAAAAAAAGCTAATTAATCCAATTAAGAATGTTTACAACTACAGTTCTTGATTCTCCAGGATTTTCAGTTTTAGATGAAAAAACAAAACCAAAAAAACAAACAACTAGTTTCCAAACCATAGTGGTTACACATTTTATCTTTTCAAGTACTTAACTTTTTCTTCCTGACAAGTGAATGGTATTCTACAAAAGGGCAACTCACTGTCTCCTGATACTTTTTTTTAATTTCTAGATTTCACAGATTATCTAAGATATGGAACCTTCTTTTCATACCAGCACTGACACAGAACTGAAACTGAAAGTCAAGCTAGTTGTGAATTTTAAAGGCAAATATTTGAACAGTTGTGTAGGTCCTGACAAGCTGACAGCACAATAGGAATTTGGAGTTTTGCCTAGTTATAGTGACTGGTGCATAGGATAGGTCATCTGGGTGAATACTGCTGAACAACATGTGATGCAACATGATAATGGTAAATAAGCTTAGCCTGAAAATACCGTTTGTATATTATATGACACCGTATACAATTGCATGCCATCTCCTTAATTTGTTTCCCAGACAGAAACTCAGAACCAGATATCTGTCACACCTTATCCTGATTAGTAGTGCCTCTGTACCACAGTCTTTCAAATACTGACTGCCCACTTACTACTAGGTGTGTGGCTTGCAGAAGGAGGTGGGAATGCTGGGAATTTGATTTTGAAGGGCCAAAAGAAACTATAAATCAAACACTTCAGGAACCTGGAGGAAAGGGAGCCCACTTCTGTCTGGGGTTTTGTGAGAAGGGAGATATTTTATTTTTAGCTGATAGAGAAGAATATAGGATGAGCTGGATCTCTTGTTTTCTAAACCTGTTCAAAAAGATCCCTACCTACGCCTTTGTGAGTTTCCCCATACTGCCCAGTTCGAAGGAATCAGGATTATTCAGGTGGGGCCCAGGCATCTCTTTTTATTTATTATTTTAAAATTTATTATTTTTTGTTAATCCTCATTTTTCCATGAGTTTTAGGGAGACAAGAAGAGAGAGGGTAAGACAGAGAAACATCGATGTGAGAGAAACACATCGATTGGTTGCTTCCTGCATGAGCCCTTGACCAGGGCCAGGGAGGAGCCTGCAACCAAGATACGAGCCCTTGACTGGAATTGAACTTAGGACCCTTTGGTCTGCAGGCCAACGCTCTATCCACTGAGCCAAACTGGCTAGGGGAGGCATCTCTTTTTAAAAGTTATTCTGGTGATTCTGTTTATCAATGAGGTTGGGATCACCTTCCTGAATAAAGGGAATAATTTGAGAAACGTAGAAGTCAGCGAGTATGTTTGAAGAAGAGATGTAATCCAATCATTGATTTTGGCTCAAGTTGAGTGCACCTTTGGGAATTCCGGGAGAGAGAAGGCCATAAAAGTGGCTGGATCTGGGTTCTTCAGGGGTTTAGCTGCCAGGCCTGGGCTTGTGGACTTTATCCAGTAGATAATGGGCAGGCGTGGAAGAGTTTTGTGTAGCCGAAGAACATGTTCTCTTGGGGAAGGGCAGGAGAGACTGCAGGGTGGTAAGTGTCAAGAAACCCCTTATCAGTATCTCAGTTGGAGTGTCTGAATAGCTATGGTTGTGATGTTGGGACTGGAAAGGAAGGGGACAGAATGGTAGGCTTTCCAGAGGAAAAACAGGATGGATTTGTGACTGATTGTTGATAGATTTGTGACTGTATGGTGGAAAAAAGGACCAGGGCTAGATCTTACTGTCTTATTAACGAAGCACAAAGTATTGGGTAGAGGGTTGTGGTGAGTGCAGGGTACGTTCTTGGGATTCCACATTGGATTTGTCTTTGTTTTCTCTCTAACCATGTATCCAGTCAGTTCCTTGGTGGCTGAGTCAAGGTGGGGGGATGGTGGGGGCAGATCTCCATCACCAGAAGTGGCCATGGGAGTTGATAGTGCTCTTTGGGGTTGATAGTGCTCTTTGGGGTTGAGGCTTTAGAGAAGTCCAGAACGCTGCTGTGGTTTTTGAGACAGGTTCATGGTGAAGCTGGCTGAAGAGACCGACGGGATCATTGTCTCTAACGACCAGTTCCGGGACCTGGCGGAGGAGTCTGAGAAGTGGATGGCAATCATCAGAGAGCGGTGAGGGGGCATCCCCTGAGAAAAGGGCTCCGACTCAGACCTTTCTCTAAAACCAGTTCTTCTCTGCCACCGGGTGAGGACTCAGGAGGGGGCTTGACACGGGCTTGGAGGATTATAGCTGACAGCTTCTGGTGGAGTTGGTCTCAGCTGTTTGGGAGGTGAACAGGGGCCCCTCTGTGACCATTGCATTTCTGTTCCCATCCAGCCTGCTGCCCTTCACCTTCGTGGGAAACCTCTTCATGGTCCCTGATGACCCATTGGGGCGAAATGGCCCCATGCTGGATGAGTTCCTGAAGAAGCCAGTCAGGTAACGCTCCAGACTCTCATAGGCAGCCTGGCCCTAGCCCCAGCCCCCTTTCTGCAGGGGCCTTGCAGGCCTGCAGGCTTGGAGGAAGTGTGACCTCAGTGTGGACCAGCTTAATTCCGCAGTGGTTTAGGTTGCCTTTAACTGCTTCCCTGGAAGACCTGACATAGACTCTGCAGGCTGGGAGGGAAGCTGCTGCTTCCTGTTGTCTCTAGTTAGTGTTTGCCGGAGTTATTTGGATCATGGTTGATTTTACTTATGGCCACTCGTATGCAGCACGCCCTCTGCTGGACCATTAAGTAAGTGATTAATTTATTAGGCTAGAACTAGATTGTGGTAATGGCAAGTTCCTGGTTTCAAAGGAACTTTCTGTCTCCCCTTCATAAGTGCGTTGATACTGCCACTCAGTGGTCAGCTTAGGGAACTTCAGAGCCAGGAATAGGCAGGGCAGTTAACAGCAGTGGAGTGCTGGGAGGCCCGCTGAGCCTCTGACTTCTCTCCAGGGTGCACATCAGCTCTTCTATTCCCTCTGCTTCTTCCTAGGGCACAGGAATCTTCTAAGGCTCAGCATCCTTCCAGGGGCTTCACAGAACACGGTAATCAGCAGCAGGGGAGAGAAGAGGAGGAAAAGGGCAGTGGTGGCATTCGGAAGACCCGGGAGACTGAGAGGCTCCGGCGCCAGCTGCTGGAGGTGTTTTGGGGCCAGGATCACAAGGTGGACTTCATCCTGCAGCGGGAGCCTTACTGCCGTGACATCAACCAGCTCTCTGAGGCCCTGCTCAGTCTCAACTTTTGAGCCTCACCTGCCCTAGTGGCTGCCATCACATCAGCTCCAGCCTTGCCTAGCTTAGTCCCTTCTGTGATGCTCAGATCCTGCCCCAGACCCACTCTGAATTGGTGCGCTGGGTGAGGGAAGCACTGAGGAAGAGCCTTCGTGAGTGGGGAATGCTCTTGCCTGGGGCACTTTGGGGACATAATGCGATCTGATCTCCTCTTGAGTCAGGACCTTAACCAGCTCTCAAGGGGTTCTGGTCAGCCTTAACTCCTCAACCTTGCCTTAGCACGGGGTTTTTGTAGGGAGTGCAGGCTGCTGGAAAGGCTAAGTCCTGGAGATTGGGACTGCCAGTTCCTCCTCAAAGCTGAGTTGGGGACGGAGGTTGGGGTGGGTGGGAAGGGAATCAAGATAGGTGCCAAGGAAGCAAGCCTTTCCTACCCCTGGATGCTCCCCAGGCCTGGCAGAACTTGGAACCTTGAAAAGGGAATAAGGGGCCCTGGAATGGCTGGGGTTGGGGTCACAGTGGGGCAGCAGGGAGTTAGTGGGGAAAGTAGATGAAGACTTGGCTTCTGGTCTCAGCTGTGCCTGTTTGTGACCTTGATTGAGCTACTTGCCCTTGACTTCTGCCTATAAATCAGATGTAAAAATGCCTGTTGGGAGAAATGAGAACATGGAGCCAGGGCTATTTGGAGGAAAAGTACATGGACCAAGTCTCAGGTGTGTCTGTCTGTGGCTGCACAGGCTTCCAAACCAAAACCTCACGTTCAGAGAACCGAGTGTCCTCTGTCCCCAGGGCCTGTGCCCTAGATTTTAACACTGCACCCTCATTTTGTGCCCTATAATGGCTGCGTCCCTTTGGGCAACCCCCAAATCCACATTTACAAAACAGTTAGTTAGGGGTGACTGTTTGCATTACCAGAATACTCTCAGGGTTCCTCTAAATGGCAGCTCTCCTGTTGCATTCAAGTGTTTACAGATTAACGAATGTGTCAGAAAGTCCCCTGTTCATTGCACTTGCTGTGGTGTTGCGCATTCACCAAACCAATGGAAGCCATGCTCTGCTATGACAATGTTAATGTGATCTGACCTTAGCATTTTCCCTACAAAATACATATGTTGCATAAAGCGAGGCCCACTTCTGCCCACTTTTTGTGTATGTGTGTATGTGGGGAGAGGGAGGGTTATAGAGATTGTAACTAGATATATTAATCTGGAAAATGAAAACCAAAGAATTAAAATAGGGAGAATCAGATAAACTGCTGTCCCATCAAAACATCCTCTCTGCTTGAAGTCCTCTAGTGCCAAAAAACTACCTCCAAGGTAGCACATTACCTTGTGGACAGTTTATTGCAGCCCCCAATATACTCTTCTGTACTTCTGCCTTTGAGGCTGGTCATTCCCTCAGGAATAATAAGAGAGCCAGCCAACTTCCTAAGAGTCCAAGACCAGAAAAAGAAGAGGGACAGGCGCCACAGGGTTCTGTGTTTGGGCCCTGCAGCAAGTCCCTGGACATGATCCTGTCAGGCTCTGGCTTGTTCCCTGAGCAGCATGGGGAGTTGAAGACTGTTACCCAGTTCTTCATTCTAGTGGGAACTGAGTGATGATGGAGAGGGACTCTGGGTCCTAGTGTCTTTGCCCCTCCTCCCTGTTGGTGATGTATATCACTAGACCTTACTGACTTGGGTTGGGAACAGGTGTGTAGGAGAAAGGCTAGCCAGGGAGCTGACAGTGACTCAAAGTCTCCTTGGAAGAAAGGAGATTGGTTAACATGGCACAGCTTGGTGGCCCGAGGAACCTCTGGTCATGTAGATATCAGGGCAGGTAAGATGGGAGAGGGTCCTAAATAAATATTTGGGATACCCCCTTTCCCCCAACAGGGTGGTTAGTTTTTGGCATACTTCTTGCCCCTTTTACTTTCAGTGATGGATGTACAATAGGCCAAAGGCATCTTCTGACCTGCCTGGGACTCTGATAAGCCTGTCCTAAGCTTCCTAGAGGGGCGCTAGCTTACTCCTACAGCTTGATGAACTTGGACCAGTATGTGATTGGTTTATTTAATCACTGCCACTCAGTGACAGATTGAAGGCTGTCCTAGAGTTGGGGCCCTATTCTTTGCTGGCATCCTAATGGTACCATGTGAAGAAGCAAGCAGGATGACCACAGAATCCATTGGAAATGGGTCACTTGTCTTATAGTCTCTACTTTTATCATAATCTCATGCTCCCAATTTGTTGCCAACTCTTGGCAATGGAGGGAACAAAGAGAGAGATGTTGCCCATTGTCTCTTAAAATCCCACAACGAGGAAAGAGTAATCTAGTATGACGTTCCTTGAAATACATTCAAGCAGAACCTAGGCCAAAGAGTTGAGCCAAAGCTAATGAGATTATTTATTTTTATTGCCTAAATTCATTACACAGCAAAAGAGAAATGGGGCAGGAATGAGACATACAGGGAAACCAAACTTGGAAATTCTTTTACAAGGAGTTGAAGAGGTTAAGGTCCCAATTAGGTAAAATTGCAATCTCAGAACAGTGGGCAATCAGTTAAAACTGCAGCAACAAAAGAATGAGAAAAAAAAGGAAGAGGTTGTAGGTCTCAGGTAGAGGAGTACCTGACCTATTCACAGTCTCTAACCGGGAAGCCTCTATCGAGGCCGTAGGCCCTACCATGAACCTCCCCACTTAGGATACGATTTCCTTCAAGGCAGCCCCCAGCTCTGGGAAGGAATACTGGTAGCCAGTGGCCAGTGTCCGCCGTGGGATCACCTTCTGGCCCTCCAGCAGCATGATGGCACGTTCTTGCCCAAAAACGGCTTGCACTACGATGCTAGGGAGAGGGATGAAGGCTGGGCGGCCTAGGACTGTGCCTAAGGCCTGTGCAAACTCAGCATTGGTAGTGGTAGAGGCTGGAGCCACTCCATTCAGGATGCCCTGCACGTGGCTTGCTTCAAGGGCATGGGCCAGGATTCCTGCCAGGTCCCCAATGTGAATCCAGGGGAAGAACTGCTGGCCAGAGCCGATGGGGCCCCCCAGGCCCAGGCGGAAGGGCAACAGCATGTGACCGATGGCACCGCCCCCACGGCCCAACACAACCCCTAGAGTAGACAAGAAGGATGGTATAGGGAGGCTCCTCAGCCTCCAGGCAGCCTACTGTTTCTCCCCATTTCCTTTTTCTCATTCTTGTCCCATCCTGGCTGAGCCCTGTAGTAGTCCAAGAATATGGCTCTCTTTGGGACTTCCCATCCTCCCATCTGCAAGTGGGCCAGGAGTAGTGGCATCCTCACTCAGTAAGCTCAGCTCCTTTTATTCCCCCAACACCTCCTGTTTCCCCCAGCCCAGAGGACATTGCAACCTTGCCTGACATGCAAGCCCCTTGTTCTCACCAGAGCGTACCACCACCTGGCGTGTAGAATCTCCAGGAAGTCTGGCTGCAGCTTCCCACTTGGTTACGAGGTTGGAGAAAAAGTCAAAATCCCCCCCTGGACTGTCCTCATCATACTCAGCAGTCAGGCTGGGCTTGTAGTAACCTGCCAGTAAAACAGTGCTGGTTTGCTCTGGCTGTCCTTGGTCCTGCCTGGTCCTTTGTCATGAAGGCCCCCTTGGCCGTTGGATATCCCCTGGGACAGAGCCGTGGCTATTTTTCCCTTGAGCTTCTTCATTAGCTGACTTGTTACTGCCTCAATTAACTTACCTTTAGCTGCACGGCTAAGCTGAGACGTTGCTAGGGTGTAGTGGTTAAGAATAAAGACGTGGGTGCCAGGCTGAGTTTTAACCTCAGCTCCACCATTTATTAACTATGACGTTAGGCAAATTACATAACTTCTCTGTGCAGAATATCTGCATCTTTAAAATGGAATAATAGCTGAAACCAGTTTGGCTCAGTGGTAGAGCGTCGGTCTGCGGACTGAAAGGTCTTAGGTTCGATTCTGGTCAAGGGCATGTACATTGGTTGTGGGCACATCCCCTGTAGGGGGTGTGCAAGAGGCAGCTGGTCGATGTTTCTCTATCATTGACGTTTCTAACTCTCTCTCCCTCTCCCTTCCTCTCTGTAAAAAATCAATAAATATATTTTTTTAAAAAAAAGGAATAACAGGCCTAGCCAGTTTAGCTCACTGGATAGTGCCAGCCTGTGGACTAAAGGGTCCTGGATACAATACCAGACAAGGGCATATGCCCAGGTTGTGGGCTCAATCCCCATTAGGGGGCATGCAGGAGGCAGTCGATCAATGATTATCATTGATGTTTCTATTTCTCCCTCTCTGAAATCAATAAAAATATATTTAAAACAATAAAATAAAATGAATAATAGTACCTACCTCAGAGTTCTTGTGAGGATTAAATGCCATAATATGTGTAAAACATTTAGTGGCTGGTGTATATTTTGTAATTATTTTGGCCCCAAAGGTGAAACACAAGAACCAGAAATGCTGCTCCTACAGATCTGTGCTGTGAGAAGAAAGGGACTTGGGAGCAGTACAATTCCACTCTCTTTTTGAGGGTCTGTTTCTCAGAGAAAGTACACAAAGGCCAGGAGAAACATGCATGGAACAAGGGCCTCGGAAGACCTCCAGGCATGTATAGCTAGCAGGGCCTGAGCTACCCCCTCACTGTGGACTCTCCCTGGCTCACGTAAAGGGTTGGTGATTCGGGGCATACCTACACCTGTGACTAAGATCCAGGTTTGGGGGGGTTGTGGGGCCTTGGTGATGGCTTTAGCCAGCAAGTCAGTGGTCTCCAAGCGGCTGCTGAGAACCTCTTTTTGGAAAGCTTCATTCCACCTGCAGAAGAAACAAGGGAAATAAGCCACTGAATGAATACATGCACATATCCCTTTCTCCTTCTCCCTGAGGCATGTCTGTACCCTTATCCCTGCAGTGTGGCTTAGAGGAACTGTCTGTCTCTAATGAGTTGTGAGGACTAAAGTCAACTGGCTGAGTGGGTAGAAGTGAGGATGGGTTTGGAGGAGGGGGGCAGGATGAGTAATCCGGGATCTGGCAGCTCCATTCTTCACATCTCAGAGTCGGCCCTCTCCACCTCCTGCTCTGAAGGATGTCAGTCTTGGGGCCCAGCGCTGACTGACCTTCGGAGAGGGTTGAGGATGTTCTCTCCAGCCAGGTTGATTGCAGCATCGCAGCGGGGCAGCCCCGAAGTAGCGAGCTCATCCTGTCAGAGTAAGCGCACGGTGCCCGCCTCGCAGGGCACCGCCCAAAGGGGCCACCCCTCCTCCCCGCCCCCCAGGTGGGGTGGACATACCCACGTGATCCGACCCGGGCCGGGCTTCCGGGAGACGAGAGTCACTTCATGACCTTTGGCTTTCAGCAGTTGCCTCAGGGCTGTCCCAATGAAGCCCGTCCCGCCACCTGATCAGAAAATACGAGGTGTTTATTCTCAGGGGGTGCCTTCGGTTCCCGCATGTGCCGCCCCCCCCCCCCTTTCCGGTGCCAGGCCATTTGACCCCCGCCTTCTCCCCTCTTCCTCGGCCCCGTCTCCGCGGCACACAGGTGACTCAGGTCACAGGGATTAGGGAGATTCGGCTTCTGCGGTTCGGAGGCCAAGGCCACGTGGCCGCTGCACGAGTCAGTGCCCTTCCTCGGGGTCCACCTACTCCCCAACTCTGGCTCAGTCCTCTTTCCATAAACCCGCCCCCCACTTTCCCTCTCTGCCCTCCCTCACCCACGAGCACCCGCATAGCCACCAGGACCTAAGGCGCCTGCGCAGCATCTAGAAGCCCGGAGGGGGCGGGGTGGGGAGGGGCGGGCACGCGCAGACGTCCTCCGGGACGTGCGCTCCCATTGGAGCGTGGGCGGGACGGGGCGTGGCCCTGCCCCGTGACCCGGAAAAACTCCTACCAAAGGCGGTACCTCGCGCGTTTCATTGCGAGGCGGGGCCCGGGTTGAGTGTGTGATTGTGTGGGGCAGTCCTGGTAGGGACAGGGAGTCGAGTGAGGGGATGGAGGAGTAAGTGGCGGAATAGACCCTGGGGCCAGGAAAGAAGGGGAGGAGGCGAAAAAACATGCTTGGCCCCAAACCCGCAGCTGCTCGAACCCTTTTAGGGGTGTCGAACTCAATCAGAGAAGGGTCCAAAATCTAAAATCCAGCCTAAATCGAGGGCCGAATGGTTTACTGAACAGTCATAAACTGTCATTGTGATGGA